GAAGTTTTTAGCGTAAGTTCACAGTTAAAATTTTCGGTATCTGTACGCAAATGTCAGAATACAGGTAGACTTAAAATCGTCGCGTCATGCAGTGCGGCACTGATCGCGCACTCGGTTATAACGTGTGCTAAATTCCTTGCCATAGGGATTGCATGCATCCCTATATATATGCAGTTTATACGTGCGTGCATGCGCGCTCATGTTTTGGCGCTAATTCATGAATTGCAGAATTACCCTAGTCTTCATATACCTATATAGAGACCCAGAAGTAGTGGTGCACTTATTCAGAGTATCAAACCCAAATTATATCCCATTATACAACCCTTTTGTTGTAAACAACCCCACTGAACAACAGCTCCTTTTTAAACAACTTTCTTTAAACATCCCAGTTGGTTTAAACAACCCCAACTGAACAACAGCTCCATTTTAAACAACTTTCTTTAAGCAACCCAGTTGGTGTAAACAACCCCCACTGAACAACAGCTTCTTTTTAAACAACTTTCTTTAAACAACCCAGTTGGTGTAAACAACCCCCACTGAACAACAGCTCCGTTTTAAACAACTTTCTTTAAACAACCCAGTTGGTGTAAACAACCCCCACTGAACAACAGCTCCTTTTTAAACAACTTTCTTTAAACAACCCAGTTGGTGTAAACAACCTCCACTGAACAACAGCTCCGTTTTAAACAACCGTCTTTAAACAACACCGGTTGTTTAAATTGTGATTTTAAACAAGTTGTTCAAAATGTTGATCAACTAAGTGTTTAAACTTTAAACAACTCGAGTTGCTTAACATTTTAAACAACTCTTAGATCAGGTCACCCGTTAATCAAGAGTTGTTTAAACTTTTAAACAACTTGTTCACAAAAATTTTAACTGTGTACAGCTTACCAAATATTATTATTTTTTAACTCAGTGGCATACTGCAGCGAATATGAAAGAGATAGATTAGGGAAAAGGATTTATAGGTATTGGTATTTTAAAAAAAATCTAATTTAATATTTAAGTGTCAGGATTCAACTTGAATTTATTATCCCATGTCGGCCTATATCTAAGATCTCTTAATGTCAGTTGTATGACAGCAATGAAAATAATAAACATGATATGAGCTTAGAGCGATTCCCTACAATATGACAGCATAATGATAACAGTCATGCGTAATGTATAACATTTCATTTATAAAGCTCCTTTTCATAAGATAAAAAGCACGAAGAAATTAGTAGGATATAAGACAAAATACAAGAAAGGATCAGAGCACCGCAACAGACAGCTGCAGCTAAGGACAGCGTTGAAAATATCATGCAGTGATGCATAACATTAGATGAGAAGAGAATGAGATTGGAAATGGAGGCGGAAATGAGGGTTGGAGAAACTGTGAGCATTTTTTGTTGGTATTCGTTTTTCAAAATCATCTGTTTGATTTAGAATATGATTGAGGCCTTTCCTTTCTGTATGTTCTATTTTAGTCCCTTCTTTTTGTTTGTGTGTGTGTGTGTGTGTGTGTGTGTGAAGTGTATTTGATTGATTTTATCTTTTGCACAACTGCGCCTTGAATTTGACGCCTTCCAAATCTTATGAATTACTATATTATATTGATTGATTGACTCGTTAACCTTTCGACACAAGTATTCTTTGTAGGCTGAAATATAATCAATGTAATTACAGCACAAATCTTTGTTACCTTGTCAACCTGTTGTTCGTAATTATCACCATACCATATAGGGCCCTCTAGATACTTGTACACCATATCCCGAGCTTGATTATTAACACCTCATTCACACCGCCAAGACGACTCCAAACCGACTCTAAACCGACTTATGTTTTGCCATAAGGGGTAAAGTAATTTGTTTTGGTCTGTTATCAGTCTGTTGTCGGTCTAATGTCTGCCTGTTGTCGGTCTGTTGTAGGTCTGATGTCGCTCTAGTTTCCTTCTGATGTCGGTCCGATATGTCTGTTGTTCTAATGTCGATCTGCTGTAGGTCTGTAGTTGGTTAGATATCGGTCTGGTCTCGATTTGACGTCGGTCGGTTGTTCTAATGTCGGTCTGTTGTCGGTCTGATGTCTGTTTGGTGTCGGTCTGTTGTCGGCCTGTTGTCGGTTTGTTGAGGGCCTGTTGTCAGTCTGGCATCGGTCTGGTGCCGTGTGACTCGGATATAACGGGGGAGATCACTGAAAGATTGCATGCTCAAAGATAAAACGGTTCTGAAATTGTTGAAAATTCTGAATGTAATGAAGCATGAGTTTATGTCAAGGCCATAAACAATTTGATGCTGATTAAGATCGGTTTATTTTCTCAATACATGAGGTATTGACTACCACAGAAAATCATACCACTGGCATATTTCAAATGAGCGGAATTTTTGTTCAGGTGAATTGTAAATTAGTGACTTTGCCATCTGTGCGAGGGCCTTTTGTTCTCATGTAAATTTCGTGAATCAAGCTATAGTCTAGGTTTTATCTTCCTCACACCACAAAAACTAAAAATGCAAAAACACCCCTTCTACCACTGGCCTCACTGTAAAAAAATTGTGGTTCAAGGCTTTTCTTCACCGCAGAAATCTCAGCCATGACAATCCAGGTTCGTAACACCTCCGCAGTGACATGTCGCAATTTTCGATGATTGACTGCAAAATTAGCCTCACACAATAAATACGGCAGCTTCTGAAAACGTGCGAATTCACACTCACGCGTAGGAATGATCACTGCCATTACGGCCAGGGTTCTGGAGGAGAGGATACAAAACGTGCGAGAAATCTGAGAGCGTCAGCAAAGGGGTTCATGAATAAGTTAGAGAGTCATGGGTCCCTGTCAAGGGGTCGGTTTTATAAGGAGTTGGTCATGCTCTGGGGGCGGTAGAATGATGAGGGAGACTAAGGCATCGTGACATCGGACATTACTTATTCATTGTTATCATGAGTTTACAATCGACTCATTCTGATAACCAGTGGTACAATGATGTGGAGGAAGGGGATAATGATGCTTCGTCATATTTCGTTTTGGGGGAATATTATAGTCTAGCATCGGACATTACTATCCGCATGTAAGAGTCTCATGAGTCTTGTTTGTCTAAGAAATAGCGCCAGATTTTCAGAATAGGAAAATGACGAGTCCCCCAATGATAAGGACTACTTTGATATGATCTACATCTACACGTCATAGAAACCTCTATATTGCCCGTATATGACAAGGTAAATGTCATGGAATCAAACTTTTTTTTCCCTATGGTGTAGGCCCCCCCCCCCCCCCCCCCCCCCACTCCGGGATCGGAATGACCGCATGCGTGTTACCAAAATGTTCGGTAAAAGGGTACTTTTCACGCACCAAAGTCCGGCTCGTACGTGTACACAAAATTGACTTTACACACCGGACTTAGGGGTGTTTTCAAAAAGAGGGAACACGCATAATATGCGTACCCTAAATAACACTGAGTGGGGGTGGGGGTGGCGGGGTGTAGGTAACGGGTCCAATGTCTTATTAAGTCCTTTCTTTATGTAAATTAGAAAGTGTCTATTTTTTTGTTGTGTCGCCAACTTCACATCTTCATTAGATTGGGATATAATAGTTTAGACAGTCATGTTCAATTATTATGTAGCTAATATCATTTATATTCTAGAAAACTGAATATCCTATACTATTAAAGTTCTTGATGTGCGGGTTGTATATCGTAATAACCTTATTTTCCTCGTTTTCCTGATAAAAATGATATTTTCAAACCACAAAATGTGCAAATTTGTCAATCTGCACTGAACATTTTTAATAAATCTGAATTTCCTGTTACTCCATCGTTGTGCATCGCAGTGCAATAAAACCCTGCTTTGGCAGCATACAGATAAACATGTTCACATCTTCATAAGATTAAGTGTCGTTGTATGACCAAGTATTCAAGACCTCTCTCTCTCTCTCTCTCTTTCTTTCTTTCTTTTCTCTCTCTCTCTCTCTCTCTCTCTCTTTTCTCTCTCTCTCTCTTTCTCTCTCACCCACACACACACACACACACACACACACACACATTCTTTCTCTCTCATTATCTATTTCTCTCTTGGCGAAATTGTAAAAGAGAAACAATTATGCAATGACTGAGGTGCATATTCTCCTGAGCTGTAATAAGAGTGATGAGGCTCTATACAAAAATGTGTGGGCTTGACCAATAAGTAAATAATTTTCATCATTATGTCACGCAACGTCTGTACTGCTTGAACAAACTACAGAACCGGCTATGTCAACACATCCCTGAGACGAGAATACAGCGGGGTAAAACACCAAACCCCTTCTATCTGTTCAAACTCAGCAAATGCTTACGTATTTATTATGAGGTACAACTGGTAAATTATCACTGCATGTACTTCCAATCAGAGAAGCGATTGTTTAGATTTGATAAATGGCGTCCTGTTTTATCACGTGTTGGTTCGATAATGCATAATTTGTTTCCCATACGCTCAGTATATTAGCTGGATGGGTCAAGGATGACGTTTTAAATTCTGACCAATTATCTCTATATCTCTTTCTCATAGGTTTCAGGACAACCCATTACACAATACCGTTTTTTTAATGCTTTTTATGTCTTTCTCTTGTTATCTTTCTGTCCTCCTTTTTTGTCTCTGTTTCTGTCTCTGTTGCTTTTCCCATTTCTCTCTGTTTCTCCTTCTTTCTTTTCCGTTCATGTCTATACGTATATCCACTCCTTTTTCTATATTGTTCTCTCTCTCTCTCTCTCTCTCTCTCTCTCTCTCTTTTGGTCTCTTTCTCTCTACCTCTCTATTATGTATTATGTATTATACTTGTTATCATGCCATTCTATATGTTCCTTCAACACGTTTCTTTACCACCTTATATAGACGTATGAAAGTTTGATTTTACATAATGTTCATGATTACTGTATTACATGATGATTACCAATATGCATTTAAATTCATAACTTGTAACGTACTTATCAAAAGTTTGTTATAATTTATGAAGAAAATAACTGTTTAACCCTTTCTTTTCTTTCTCGATCTATACAGAAGACAGACTAAATGAAGAAACAAAATTACAAAAGGTGAGTTTTTTTTCACTCTCTCTCTCTCATTTCACGTTCAATTTTATCGGATGAAATGATAGATTTGTATGGAATCTAATTAAATTCAATAATTGGCAGGAGTAATGTAACTTGCTCACTAATTTCTGATTAGTCTGATTTCATTATTTTTCCAATTATAATTCAGCTATAGCAAAGGGCGTCGTTGTAAGTTTTTTGCCTTATCCTGCCGTTGTCAAAATATTAATAATTCCTGTAACCTCTGATCTGTAGAAAAGCTGTGCTGCTCCTTGTGCTGTGCTGAAAAGAATTAGAAATGTTTTTCAGAGGTATTATAAGGGGACATTGGTTTTGAAGTATATTCTTATGATAATCAATCAAATGTTAAATATGATCCTAATAAATATGATCCGTCCTTTAATACGTAGGACCAGTTTAGGTGTAAAACCATTATTCGTTTTTGTCTCAACGTATGCATACTTTAGGCATATCATGATTTTAGAATCTGTCAAAACGAGACTTCTCTCAACCGTATAAAGAATATCTTTTTCACTTCTCAAGGGAAATAATTATGGTTGTATTCTTGAAATGCAAAACAAACAAGAACATTCAAGTGGACTGATCAAAGCGTAATCGAGACAATGTGATCGAAAGAAGAATGATGGATGATCGGTAATCAGCAATGAAAACTGATCGGGAAGCAATGTAACCAACCGTAGCAAAGTAGTATTTTTAGTAGACCCACAAAAAAATCAACTAAAAGCGGTAGACCCTTCGTCTACCAAACGCATGCGGACCGATCGAGATTTATTGCCCTCATTTCAAGGAACATAAATCTTCTGACTACTGTCAACAAGGACTAGAGAATCCTACACCCCTCCCTCCTTTCCTCTTGCTGACGACATGCAACCGTGCACGTAAACTCACACGCTCGCGTAGATTCATCGTTATAGGAAATCGGAGAAAATAATTTATAAAGAGGAGGAGGATGCTCCTGACGGGTTTTTATTGTCGTGTCGGGTAGATTCCCATAGTAAACGGAAGGGAACCGAGTACAAAATCGAATATGACCGGGAGGCAAACAAGTTACACCTGCACTGAAACAGCCTAACAAACCCTTGTTTGGCATAGTACGAGTCAACCCAACAGGCACCATGTTGTTATTCTACAGAGTATGCTGTTGTCTCGGGACGTAAATAGGGCTTTTTCGAACGTCGAACATGACAGAATTCGTAGAGAAGAACATTAAAAGCATTGATTTTTTTTGTCCATACTTGAGTCATAATTTAATGAAACTATTTTACGAACATTGTGAGAATTGAGTTGCTTTCCTGTATTTTGAACCCCCCCCCCCCAATATATATATATATATATATATATTCTTCCTGTCTAACCCAATTAATAGTAAATAATTATATTCAACACATCTTGATATACATTTTCTTGAATCATCATTTTGAAGATTTTTTAAATCTATTTTTTTACATCAATATGTTCTCCATCTGATAGCTACCTATATGCCTGGCTGCTTGTGAATTGGAAAGAGTCATGGAAGAGTTTTCTTAATTATTTTTTTCTCACTGATTTTCGTCCCGTTCAAATTGTTTAAGCTGTAATGGGAAATGACACTATAGTTCATTTGCACAATTATTATTTCTCCTTGTTGACAAGCCCTTGAATAAACTCCACGCAATTTGAAATACGTAGTGATGCACACGTAACTACTTTATACGTCTGTTTCTGACATTAATTTTCCTCAAAGTATGCACAATTTACCATCAAGATCAGATGATTATACCTAGTGTAATTAGTCCCTGATTACCAATTAGTTTTGGAATTCTCTACGCCTAATACTTGTTTTGACAAGATGTTTCCCTGCTAAAGTTCGTTCCTGACAGTAGTTCTGTTTTTCCTCTTTCAAACCATTTCATCTCATCGTACGCTTCTTGTTAATTAGTGACAGGGTGATGTTTATACAATTCTAGAAGCTACACCGCATGTTTGGTGTCTGCTTCAAGCATCTGGTTATCTCTCTCTGTTCATCTTTATTCTCTCCTGCACAATAAACTCATGGAAGGGTTGCCATAGCAACGAGCTCTCCTCTAGGGCATGCATGCCAGCGACAGCGTTTATTAAACGGGTCAAAGAATTGCTCAGAAATATTCTATTGATTCTGCCGAGCCCTGCTTATTATTTTTTCCATGCAGTGACGTCTCCTATAATATTATGGAAAAGGTGAATTGATGTCATCTGATGTACGCCATCACCTGATCATTAGATGTCAAGGGGAGGGGCATTTTCCCCTATAATATTTTTTGACATTTGAAGACATTTCCCAAAATATTCTTAGGCTTAGAGGGGAATTAGAGATGGTTTGGCTTTCTAGACACCCATCATTGCATTGCTTTATTTTCTTTGCCTGTACCCGAGTATTGTTTGTCGTAATACAGCGGATAAGGCAAATGCTGGAGTGACGCCACTGCCGTCTACATGGGCGAATTGGGCAAGAGGAAATTCTAAAAGCAAGAATGTATCTCACGAACCAATCATAAACACTACGTCACAATGGTTTTCATGATCGTAAATCCAGCCCATTATCTTTCTTGTTATAAAATAATAGATTATGAAAGTATTAGCACTTTTGATGTAATGTGAGGCCCTTATGCATGCATTCATGACGCCTTGTAGATACCCACGTGACGTTTAAGTCAATAAAGGTCGAAGCTCTTGACAAATTCAATAACAATTCACTCGAACAAAGCAAATCCGCCTTGGATTAGTTTAATCTACTCAAGAAACAAAGAAGAGAGAAATTTTAATGGAAATTCGAGCATTAAAAACATCAACGTCTTGGGCTCGTTCAATTACGCTATTGAATATTGTTCATCATATAACATAATCGTTAAAGCAAATTTCATGACGTCAGTAGAGATAATGGTAATGGGTTTCTTTTAAATTCGAAGCATTCACTTTGTCGAATAATCACCTGCATTATCGTTGACGTTAATGGACATTTTTTTTTTTTAATTCTCAATTTTACTGACGTTGATGAATATGCTGTCATGATGAATAACACAAGTTTTATTGATGTATTCATTCTAGCACCAATGGTATAGGAAAATACAGAAGTGATGTTACCTCTTCTTTTGGCGATGTAACCCTAAACAACAGAGAGGAAAAAATATATTCAACAGGTACATGAAGTAAGACAAAGGTTATCCAAAGACCCACTTTCTACAAGATTATTTATAGAGAAGTGATTTGTAAGAAGCCATGAGAATTATGTCCGAAATAAATAATGACTGTTCACCGTTAGAAAAAGTAGCAATTACGCTTAAAAGCTCCTAAAGGACTGCAGCAGAAGTCAATATTTCAATTTGGTGACGACGGGCATTTTGTCCCTGCCATTCAAATAACCAAATTATATTTATAAACAAGCCTTCAGTGGTAGCTATATTTAGCCACGCTTTAAACTTATTGACTTCACTTTGTATATCAATGTGTTTAATGACTAACTCGGCGACCGTTAGCAAGTGAGTGATGGCCACATCAATTTTCATGACGTGCCGCGGGACATTAGTTTGTTGTTTGTCACTATTTTGCATCTCCGTCGAAATGAAAATTCAGCCGCAAGTTTACGAATTGGGTGAAGCGGAAACGAAAGGGGGCACGAGAGAAGAGAAGGCGGAAGAGGAGAAGGTATGAGTAGGAGGAGGAGGAGGAGGAGGAGGAGACGTAGATCATTATGGAAAATAGATAATAGGATGAAGCAAGAGGGGAGGAAGCTGGTGATTCGAGGCGACAATTCCTCCTGAGCTAAACTTTAAAATGCTGCGACCTTTCAAGCCACCACTCAAGCGAGTAATTGAGAGTGTTGGCTGTCGGATATGGGACCTATTGAGATTCTAGATGAGTACTTCTGTTCAATACTGAAGATTCTAAACAACTCGAAATTGAGCGATTGTCCTTGAGGACTTCTTTTAATCTACTAATTTCCATTAAAGACTAGAAATTCGAAACACCTACATCTAAAAGTTTACGTCATTCCTGGTATAGTCGTATATATAATAGAGCCAATAAGATCGTGAAATTTGGTTTCGATAAAAACATTTTTAGTTGAATTGTAGGTCAGAAACAACTAAAAATGTGATTAAACTATTTTTTAAAAGTTAACATGTGTTAAACCCAAACCAATGCACCAATTTCTAATTTAAAAGTAAGGATTTGGTGAATAATGCAAAATCAATTTCGGGAATGGTCCATTCTCATTCTCATATTATGAAAATAATAGCCCAATTTTCTATTCAATGCTATGATATTATTTGAAGACGCTCCTAATTTCAGCATCATTTAATGTTCAATCACTAAATCTAGCTTTTATTCAGTAATTACTAAACAGATCTACCTCCCCCTCTCTCTCTGTCTCTCTGCATGTTTATATCTATGTTCACTATTTCTTTGTCCATATGGGACCCATTTGGTGATCGTACTGCCGAGCAATACCCATCAACCTGTTTCTCGGAATACCTTGTTCTCATCTCATCTGCATGCATTGATTACCATGAACTCTAAAAGTCACTTTCAGTCCGTGCAAGCAAGCTCTTTATTTCAGTCGGACTATATAGGAGGGCTTTATGGAGAGAAAGCCACCTCCTCAGCCATCATCTATTGGATGTGACTCGAGTGACAAAGAGGTGAATTAAATCGGAGAATCAAACCAAATCAAATTGATCACCCCTTGGGATGATATCGGATATATTCTCATTCGAATATTCTATCCGCGGCTCGTGGAGATATCAGATCCGGTGCGGGTGACTGTGACATTTACCCAACCGCACTATTCCCGCGTGAATTAGTCGGTAGCACGATGGTAGTATACCCATCCTCTGTTTTATCACACATAGTGTTCCCATTTAAGCGTTTCATTAAAGGAAAGGAAGTGTCAAAAAGTAGGTTGCATACCACGTTTTATTGGCATTTCAGTTAAGTGTATTCTATCATTTTTTTTTTTACATCAACGGTTGTCCATACAGTTGGAATAACGTTGGCTTACTTCTTTTCATGATGAGTAAAGTTCTCTCAAAAGATATAAACGTTATCTATGAGGAAAAAACCATAACGTCACAATCATTTCACGTAAAGAAGTAAGAAAAAGTCTAGCAGTTTAGATGATTATGTCATTTTACTTTTAAAATGATGGGTACTGTAAACTCGAAGAATAGCTTTTGAATAAATAGGCCTAATTATATCAGCTTCTTTTCTTATCATCAGAAATAAATCACATTTTCACGGCTAAGGTAAAAACACATTTAATTTTCAGTGATTGTAACACAGGTCATGAAAATAAGGCCTGAATACCGTGTCATCTATCTGCTACGCCATTGAGAAAATGTATTTCCTCCGATCATACTCCCTATAGCTCCAATTCACTTGATGACTATCTATTTCAGACCTGCAAGCAAGAAACAAGATGTCTGCCCGTTGTCATGGTTATGAGGGTGAAGACCATGGTCGATTGAAAGACAGCACCTATGGGCATTCCTTGATGGGTAAATCAGGCGGTCGTGTTCTTTTCTGAGAAATATTCGGTAGAATGAACCATTTCTGAAGCTTAGAGACCTAGAGAAATAGGGATCATCTAGCCATGAAGATCATAGAAAAGGGATAGCGTGCATTTAGAATACAGCGATCCATTGCTTCTCTGGAGCTTTTTCATTTCATATTGTTCACCATTTCTCGGTATGATAATGTTCAAGGTACCGGTGTTTGCATTGATACTGAATTCGAACCTGGACGTAAGACATTAACCTGATTAATGATCTGCAATTGTGGCGTTTTCATTCTACTATCACTATCAGGGGCGGATCCATGATTTTCCAAGGGGGGGGGGGGCGAGAAATGTAGGAAATTGCGAGCGCGAAAGCTTTATGGCGTTGGGTCCGGGGCCCACTTAATGGCCCCGGAAAAGGGTGAACCTTAATATGCTCTATGCTACATTCTGAGGTATTTCTGAATGTAAAAAGAGGGGAGGCATGCGCCCACACGCCCCCTGGATCCGCCCCTGACTATGATATTCTCTCTTTTGATTCGTTTTATGATGATCAACCGTTAATACCTCTCATTCAACGTAGATCCGGCGTTGTTAGGAATCTTTTGTGAGTCCCATACTCGTACTCGATGTGTACTATATCGCCATGGTAACGCCTTTTGTTGCCCACTTTGTAACCCGACCCACATTTTCATTTCGGTTTGGTAATTTTAAAGCTATCAATAATCATCAATACAGCAATTTCCGACCGAACATAGTGATCAATATTTTATGAAGGAATCTTCACAGTTCTGGCAAGTTTGCTTGATTAGTCGATTTTAACTTCAATCGTCTGTACTTTGTGACCAATAAAATAATAATTGCCTGCACTGGAAGTCCATTATCATGTTGTTTTTTAGGGAAAAAAGATAAACCAAAAACAATCATAACAGATTTACTTAATTTTGCATAAGTCTTTTTCCTTTGATAATCTTATCATACAAGATTTTATCACTGCCCAGTTATCGTACGTCTGAGCCCATTGCCACTTTAGGAATAATCAAATTCAAATAAATGTTCCCTCGCTTCCCTGAGATGGCTGCACAATATCGTAAGAACATGAGATATCAATTTACCCACAGTTTCTAGTGTAATATTACACACCGCGACTAAAATTCCGTAAAAAGATAAATGCTGACGTACATTGCGGGGGAGCTATTTAATTGAGTCCATTTAAAGACAGTGTTGAATCTGGGAATGATGACAATGATGTGTAGTACTTCGTATATTATTTGTATTTGTAAAATTCATATCATAGTCAGAGCATTGTACTCATAGTGCAATTATTATAATTTTCATCATCATTTATCAAAGTAATGCGTCTATGAAGAAAAGTATGAATTATGCAAGACTAGTGACAAAAGCTTATTATTATGAAGCATATCTCATGCATTTTGTAAAGTAATAGTGTATAAACAAAAAAGAAAGTGATCTATAGTCTTCACGCATTATATCTTAGGTCTGTTTAATATGTCTTTGAAAAGTGTACTGTCTGTCTATCTGTCGAGGGAAGAAGATATCTGACTATTATCTCCTAGAACGATCCATTTCAGTCAACCGTGGAGAACAACGGCATCAGAATAATACAGGCAAGGGTCAATGCCTGAGGACACTGAATTGATGAATATATTTGAAGCCTGTCAAAGAGAGATGGAGAGGAAGATGCAACGGAGGGGACACATCGAATGAATGAGCGCGCTTCTTAAAGATCCTTATTGAGGGAAGGATCGACAATATTTTTTTAAGTTCATAACTTTTACCGGGGTGGGAAGGGTGGAATAGGGGAAGGGACACGAAAACAAGTTTGTATCTAGGTGTGTATATGGCAGATTTGTATCGTTTTTCTGTTTCGTTTTATTTTTCACAATGCTTGGATCAAAGTGGTCGATTGATATCGAGAAAACAAAATATTTGCTTGTCATTAAAACATCCGTAACTCAGCTACTCATTTCGCTTGTCATTAAAGCATCCGTAACTCAGCTTTTCATCAAAATTTAGAGAGAATCAATATATCCTTCAAAGTTTTAAGTAGCTAAATGATAGTAATGAAAAGACCGAAGCAAATGCGGATTCAAAGGGGTCGACTAAATCGAGCCAGGTCTTAGGAGGAATCCTTGAAAACCGTTTGATCTCCTCTGTAAATTGAAACCATTTTTGCATCCTTCGGAGACCAGTGGACGCACGTCCTTAGTGGCCATCTTTGTTTGGCGATCGAAATGGGTTGCTGCTGACGATAAAAACCGCCCACACGATGACCTTTACTAAAAAACAGAACTTTATAATTCTCGATCGTGTTGCAGAAGCATAATCGTGATCACCATGTGAACGGCATCCTGTGTCGTAATTACCTTCAGCTCGCATATTAATCAGGTTGATAGACTAAATGAACATTTACTCGAACACCTTGGGTAATGAGTTTCTATATCAAATCTAATAGTTTGACCGCAGTCTGTATGTGGGCATGTATTATTGTGTTTTGAGGTATATCTGCATCGATATGGCGGATAAAACGATTCCATGCCCGAAGCATTCATCTTCGGTTGCCATTACTGTATATTACGATTGGGAGCTCCATGGGGTCCCTCCATAAGAGTTCACCATAAATTGATTTTCTCTTAGGCGTCGTTTGGCAATGATACTGTTTCCGAACAAAGGCTACCGCATCCATTAAAGAAAGCGCAAGTTATGGTGAAATAATTTATGTAAATTTTAAAACTGTGTGCGACTGATGTACCGATTATTTTTCATATGAAAATTTCATGGTATTTGAAGTTTTCGTGCGTAAAAAATGGCTAATCGACTACTAGTGGGTAGCAAGTCACGGTACAGACTGCTTAAGTATGACGTCATTACAAGTCTTACAATTCCGATATTGTTATGTGAATGACAAATTCGGGACCTGAAACAAAAAGATTATACATTCTTCAAAATCCATGTCTAATATTGTGTCTCAATTTCTTTTGCATTCAATTCGTAATTGTGCTTTTGCAGTAGCTTTTAGAGACATAAAGTCAGTGTTCATGTTTGACTATAGAAGGCTTCATGTCATTTTGGGCCCTGTCTTATAAACTGTTGCGATTGATATCAATCACAACTATGTATGTAAGAGATAGGAGATCCCAAACTTGCGATTGATTAGAGGACTTGCGATTGATTCGGATCAGTCGCAACTATTTATAAGGCGGGGCCCTGAACCCCTGATTAACATCGAATATGTTGGTCTTCATTGAAACCTTACATTTCAGTTACCACGCTATATAGCAGTAAACGTCAAACATTATTTACTAAGGCTTCTTTTTTCTTGTATGGTTTGTCCTTTAACCAGGTCGAAAATGCAGTGACGTCACAAGATAGAGAACTAGAAGACACACAACCAAAGCAAATCCAAGGTAAGAAGCATATCTAATTGCACGAATTGATTCGCGTTCAGATATGAACTGTTAAACCGCGGCAAATAGAGAAAAAGAAACACCGCGGTTTTTTACGTGTAAGTAAATGGCAACTGCGCGCAACAAAGGTCTTTTGCGTACCAGTGTATTCACTGAGCTGTTACACTTACGTCAACATAACTTTATTTTAAGCGATTTACCGCGTCATATTTGAACGAGACTTTACGTATTGAAGATAAATAAAATTGCTCTGCGATTAATTTTGGTCGTAAGTCGAATTGCTAACTTCAATCCTGCACTCAACACAACACCGTGAGCTATTAAACCCAAAACCTAACCTAAAGCCAGTCTCAACCCAAGCCCGAAAATAATATCTTCGACAAATAAAGCCTAGAGTAATGTCACTGGAGCAAAATGTCAGATCAAATCTCGGATATTGTGTTTATTATTGATATGTGAAACCGGATGATATAGATCGGCTTTCAATCTCGCCGATGATAACCCGATCAAAAAGGAATTGAATGTGACGCTGGCCTTACTTTGCGCCGCATACATCAACCAATGTCAACATTACCTCAAGCGGGTTTGGAGTTATAATTTTGTAGAGACGCACGAAGGTAGTACCATCACATCGACCAAGCTTGAAGACATAACAACCCCTTTCAATCTTGTATTGAAATACCATCGCTTTCATTTAATTTTGAAGTCATTATTCTGTGCTTTCGTTTCCTTTTGATCCTGCACATCATTTTTCTTTTCAAATTAGATTATATATGAATATCCCTGTTTTAGCTGGAGCAATGTTGCGAGCAATCGGTTTCGACTGATGTTTTAGCATGACGTACGTATACAGCGTTACTACAGGAAAGTGGATCTTGAATGCGTGGTATCGCGTGCGCATACATTTCAATCTTTCTCAGACAACAAGGAATCTTTACCTAAAAAACATTAGATTTGAGGTGGAAGATTTGTCATAAAACCTACCGTTGCGAACATGTTCCCGGCATTGTTCCGGAAATAACAGGGATAGCAATATATAGATATCATTATAATCGTTATAATTTCGTTAATCCTTGAATGCTGTGAGCGCCTAAATCGGCTGCCTAGCAGAGCCGGGGTAATATATAGTTGGAGTGCCTTGAGCACCATGCATGGTGGATATGTGCACTATATCCAGTGTTATCATCCTGTTGTTTTAAGATAACATCAGACAAAAATAAACCGGATGCTCATTGTACATTATGTTATAATGCTAGGCACAGCATCGACACCGGTGTTTTCGATTCTTTACAAAACCCTTGATAGATTCCAAATTGCTATTAATGGCACCACCTAATTCTATTAAGGTGTTGGTGTAATGGCATAGTTCATTTCCCTCTCTTATACATCCCTCAGGATATTATCAACATGGAAGCAGTAAGTAGAGACCACGTGACCATTGTCACCTCACTTCTAATTTAATTTCGAACAGCACCTTAGGGTCTCAGCCTCGCAAAATTATATTTCCGACCAGCTCTATATTTCTCTCGAAATGTGCTTTATGAACCCTTTAGGCTTACTTTATTGGTTAAAGATGTGGAACGCTTTTCCGAAGGCTCGTAATTCCGAAACACAAATTTCCCATACTAGGGGGTTCATAATTTCGAAAATTTGTTGCGTTATTCCGAAGGTTCATTTATCCGAAGTTTCCTAATTCAGAAGGTGAAATAGGGTTCATAATACAGAAGGTTAGTACTTCCGGAGGTAAAATAGGATTCATAATTCTGAAAATGAAAAAGCGTTCGTTGTTCCGAATACGATACAGTATTTGGGGATTATATCCAGCTAAATCATGCTTCATGTAGAAATCATGTTCATGTTCAGGTTGTTGTGTACCTCATTGCCGTGTTCACACATTTTCGACGGGTGACGCATGAGGCTACTGAAATTACCTTATAGGTTAATTTTTTGAAAGTGGTTGCTATCGTGTTGGTAATACAAACCTTCGGAATTATGAAGATTCGGAAAAAACGACACGTAACCAATGAAAGTCGTATTTTGAGCCGTAGGTGTCCTCATCATAAACGTTGCTCTGTTCAACGAAATATATTCCGGCAGCAGTCTTATCTTTAATTGTTATTTAACCACTGCTAAAGAATAAGTAGTTTTACATCTCATCAAGATTATCTGCAATGTATATTGTGGTCATGATGATATTGTTCTCTTAGTCTGCAGAGTGATTCCTTCTACATAGAATAATCTAGTACGGATTTATATTGTATTTGAAATTAATTGAACAAACTACAAACATAGTCATGCGATTGAGATGAATAGTAACAAGAAAAGAATTTCTACCAGGCACCCTACTGTAATTTCTATGTATAGCCATTTTCTTTATTGTCAGCACTTGCACAGATTATAAGCTAAGGATGATGTGAAAGCGGGTCTTGGAGAACTTGCATCAGGCATTAGCGCATTAATACATACCGCAGTTGTGCTTAAAATTGCATTAAACGTGCTATGACTACAGAGTTAGGAGTTGTGCTCATTTCACTGTGAATATGTTGCGAGCTTCAGTGATCAATTTTTTTCCTCCATTGATCGTATGAATGATATCAAGTTTGCATCGGATAGCGCTGATATTTTCAAAAGGTATTCAAAGAACCATATGGCAGGAAGCCTACAGTGAACAATTTGAAGGAAAGGAAAGGATAACCGTTCGTGGAAGGTTCGAGTCTGTAGCTTTCTAAGTGCATGGCAGACATGCAGCTGTTATATTCAATATCAAAATGCTTTTTCTCGTGAATAATAGCGAAGTCACAAAGGATAACAAAATCCTCGAAGAAAACAATGATCAATTCCGGACCTAACCTGACAGGAAAAGAGACTAAAAAATTGTACCCGAAAGAGATTTTTTAAAACCTCTCTTTCTATCTCTTTCTGAAAATAATATTGGTATTCAAACGACATATGGCCCTTGGGATTCTTCCAGACCTAGAAAAAATAGAACTCGTCTGCGAAGAAAAAAAATGGGGTAGAAATGTGAAGAAATGTGCAGCATTTCTTGTCTAAGTCAATCATCAATACAGGTTGTCATGACAACTGGTGACGTGATGGTGACGTCAGTGACAACTTAAGGGGGTTGAAAGCCACCTCGGTGCCGCGTGAGAAGCCAACAAATCAATCTGAGAAGGGAGGCAATGAAATGGGGAAAACATTTCACATTCGTTCCCCGGTCTTCATTTCTTTCCACTCGATTTATTCTTAGAATATTGGAATGATTAAGCTCAGATAAAAACCCGCCGTACATCTTCAAATGAAATCGTAATCCTGGATTCACATCGATTTCTACGTGTTTATTTCGAGCAGGCAATTTCTTTGGGGCAGTTATATTTAGTTTACGGTATGTTAAATAAAACCTTTTCATGGGTTTTACAGAATTAAATATGATATCCCCTTTCATATTATGCTAAAAGAATAAGCTAGGAAAATTAAATGATAACTTTTTATTTCACACAAAGAAAATATGGACTACAATATTAGGATGGAACTGAAAATACAACTCGTAATTAATGATGAAAAATGAAATACAGTCTATAAATACAGCACTAGTTTTGTTACATTTCTTTACACAGATTGTGGGAATAACTTCATGCAATATTCAAAATCAAATCAATCACCGATAATCATTACGTCTACGCTACTTCCGATAGATTTTCACGACTTTAAGAATCCAGGACCATAATTCTCGTTATTAAAGTCAACGATAAAGGCGAACAGACAGGGTAAAGTAGACAGCTAGATTTCATAGAATGGCGCCACATCATTCAGCAATGTCAAAATTTAGGCATTATAAAGGTCATTAAATTGATGTTTCTGAATTAAAATGGCAGCGTTGTATATTCCCCTCAACGTTTCATTTTCGTGGAAAATGGCGAGCGGCACAATTATATATTATATGTCCCTCAGATGCGTGGGTGTGTAGGGCAAAATCCTCAACCAGACAGGAACAAAATTATATCTGCTGATTTTCTTCAGACAGAGGAGGGAGATATTACGGAGAACAATATTGCGTCGAGTTGAAAAGTAATTACAGTTAAGTGGTCAAAATTGGCTTAGTTGCTGCCTTTATATCAACCGCAATTATATATAAGCACTGGCAGAAAAATATTGGCTCGCCACATGAAGAATTAATGATTTCCTTTTCTTTTAATTACATTGTTGAGGGGGAAATGAAAGGCTCGATTAATGGTTTCTGCATTTCTCATGATACTTTCTTAACAGTTATTAGAAGCGAAAACTTGTTTAATGTTACACTTTTCATTTAATGTTTTCTATTCATTTCTTTAATTTTGCAGAAACAGAAGACGGTCCTGTCGATGTAGAAGAAGATAACACACCAGATGAAGACGACGATGATGACAGGGGGCAGGAAGTCATCAACTATCAGGATATTCAAGTCGATCATAACAGCAAAGTGACCAGTGAAAATGAAGGCAAGAAACCAGGTAAAATCAAATGTAACAATATCTGAACTCAAGACACCAAAGTTGGAATAGATATTTCTACGATTAATAGTACTAAATCAGCTTTTATAGATGCACTTTGAATTTAAAAAGAAATGATATTCTGTATTTATTCAGCGCGATATACAAATGTCCGTAAGAAGTTTGCTAATGTCACAACATAACTATATAATTTAATGATGCATTCAGAAGCTTAATGTTCCACAGGGGACGACCCCCCCCCCCCCACCCCTCGTGATTTGCAAAATTACCCCCAAATCGACAAACTTTTTATTCAGCGCTTGCTGGTTAGAGGTTTGGGGCTGAAAATGTGTGATCTATTCTTATTTTAATTGTCAGAGATTGATGGCACCTGTGCTCCTCAAAAAGAAAATACTGATGTACTGTTTACAGGAGCAGGATAAAACATTTTGCATATGGTATAACATCTGATATCACAGTGGCAAACCTACTTAAGCGATCACCTGTCTATAAAGACCACATCTTTTTGTTTTCCTTGAAAACGGTGTCTCATTGAAACATGTACTGAAGAAACCTAAAGATCACCTGCCTGTAAAGACCACTTTTCTTGTCTCCCTTGATCGGTCTTAATATACAGGTTTCACTGTAATAGGGACAATGTACCAGCATGTTCGACTCGTACTAGGGCGAGGCCGTCCCTTGCGTCCACACCCTGATAATTCACTTTGTCAGTAGAGACTGCCGATTTATTTTTGCTCTGTAATTGAAATCTGAAGGCACTGTCCACAGAGAGGATAAAATAATTGATAGACACATAAGACACTTGCTTGTATAAGAAAACATTTCCGGATGATAATCTCAAGGGCATCACATCAGTGTATCATCTCTGCAATCGATATCCCACACTCTAAACATCATATGTTTACCATTCGGGTTATGTGACTTGATGTATTCGATTAACGTAAATGACTTTAGGGCTCAACGTCGTGCTTAAAGATGATACTGCAAGTGTCATGTAGAGAACGCGTGAACACTTCACTTGCAGATGCACGCATGATTTGGGAGTTTGGATGTTTGCACTAAACATTCTCACCCGTTCCAATTTACGATCTCAAACACGATCTATAAAGAGCTTTGAAATTTCTTGTTTAGGAGGTACTAAGCTAAAGAAAATCGTTTGTGAGTAGGTCGTGCTTGTTTTTGGTAGTCACCATTTTTTTTTCTCCAGCAAAGGCACTCATGGGTGTTTGCACTTCACCTGTCTTCTTTTTCGATCTCAAACACGATGTTTAACGAGCTTGAAAGCTCCTGAAATTTCGTGTTTAGAACGTACTAAGTCTAAAAATTTATCGTGACATTTCGTGAGTAGGTCTGCTTGTTTGGTATTTTGTTCCGCATGTTCAACTTTCGACTGGCATGTTAAATTCCTTGTGACTGAAACCTGTCACCCACTTGCTCCAAATGTAAATAACACTTGCACAACTTTATGTTTCATCAAACCCTCACGTCCATACATTATCATGCTGAAACTGCATGTGTCTAAAATAATGAACATGAATCTTAACCTATATATAATTATGGGGGTAAAACTACTTGGTCACTGTTCCTTTTTGGAAGTAAGTTGCATGACGTGTTTGGTGATTTTATTAGCCCACTAACAGTCAAGTCTCGCTAAATAAGGCTTGAAACCAAGCGGTCATGGGATTACTCGTGATAGCTAACGAGGAGGCTTTACTAAACCGGGATCATAATGATATCATTTAATAGGTTCGTTAGAGATATACGATGCCCAACTTTGGCATGTTTCCGGAGGAAATTATTTAGCTTAAAGGGAGTCTGCAGCAACGCTCATTAATTATTAATGCAAAGTTAGCGTAGCAAATAGATCTACCTGACAGATGATGCAAGCTTTCAAGCAGACGTAACCGTCGTAAAGCTTAATCAGGCGCCAAACAACAAACGGCCATAGGTTTCTGAAAAATAAAATCAATCGATGGAAAACAATTTCATACAATAATATTTGTTATTTCTATACCAAGTGGTTGCGCCACCGGTGTACCACTGACTGAGTCTACAAGTCTACAACTGCGAGTCTACTGTATACTGACTCGCAACTTCGATATCCATTCGGTTGCCGCAAAAGGCGAAAGAAGACTAATAAATTATCTATAGCGCTCATGTAGGCCTTATTGTTCTTATGCACATTCTTGAATCTGTTTTACTTTTACAGAGACAGACAGCAAAAACGAAGAAGAAGAAGAAGACGAGTTTGACGATTTGCTTGGAGATGAAGATGAAGATGAGGAGCAGCTCGAGGAGGCCGTCGAACAGCAGATGGAAGAAGAAGAAGAAGGATCAGAGTACATGCTGACACCTGCTGCTGCACGTGAATTGATGCTAGAGCTACGAGATCCCGTGGAGGTGGCCAAGTTTGTGGTGGAAACAGATGACGCTGCTGGCTTCCTTCGGGCTCTAAGGTTACTCTTACACGACGGATATGTGAGTAGCATTATAAACCCTTTTACATTACCCCATCCTTATAGGGTAAAGCATCCGGGTAGTCTCTGCGTAGTCTTTGAGTAGTCTCCGGGTAGTCTCCGGGTAATCTCCGGGTAGTCTCTGAGTAGTCTCCGGGTTGTCTCCAGGTAGTCTCTAAGTAGTCTCCGGGTACTCTCTGGGTAGTCACCGAGTAGTCTCTGAGTAGTCTCCAGCTGGCCTCCAGGTAGTCTCCGAGTAGTGTCCGGGTAGTCTACAAGTAGTCTCCGGGTAATCTGCAAGTAGTCTCAGGGTAGTCACCGACTAGTCCCCAAGTTAAGTCGAGGTTCCCCGATGTTTATGTCATGTACTGCCGAAGGGTGAATCTCAACCGATATAGAGTAGGCCTATAGGCTGTCCATCAGCGTTGTCCTCCGCATAATAGATTGCGTATTATGACCATGATGATTATTTGCCCTTAGGAGGTCACCATTTTGTCACCCGGGGGCTGCATGGGCGGGGGAGGGCGGGGTGGGCGACATTGAATACATACATGTGATTTGATTGCTTTAAATAGAAACGTATAAACCGGGTTCGACATTCACTAATTTATCTTCCTTTCCCTCTTTTATACTCCTCTCTTCATCTCTCTTTCTGTCCCTCCCTTTACCCGACGTGTATTCTAGCCCAGAGCTGGTCCCGTTATGAAGCAACCGTCCTCTTTATTATTCTTTTCTTCTATTTGATATGTCAACTTTCTGTCATAACAAATAACCCAAGAACCCGTAAATGTGTTCATTTGCTTTCCGTACCATCATCATGATCATAGCAAATACATGTGTTAATTGCTGCAATTCAGTATTTTCGATCAGGTTTGCAACATCTAAATATACGTTAACATAACAACGTTTTTTTTCTTCATTTATTATTGTAGGTACTCTTAAATCCAAATGTTATCCAAATCTATTTGTATTTTCAGCTTGAATCATTAAACAATATTATTCAAGTACAAAAATGTGATTTTCCATATCCTGTCTCATCCAATCCAAAAGGTATTTTACTAGAAAGCGCCTTTTCATGCAGCCCAATCACTCTAGCACGTATTGTGCTCTTTATGCAAGTCAGTTCTTATTCCTACAATGCAATCAATGGCTTCAGCATTATTTATCCACTGCAGATTCAGTCGCAGTCGTGCCAATGGCTTCAAAAGAATAAGAAGGAAAAAATGGTTTGACCTTTAAATTATGATATTTTCAGGGAACAATCAGCTTTAAGCGAGTTGTTTTCAAAGCCTCGTCCGCTCTGTAAATGTCAGAATTGTCTGATGATGACACTCCACATTACGCACGTAATTAGTAAATAATACATGTCTTCGTGACATTAAGGAATGAAAGGAAGCTACGATATCAACCAATGATTAATGAGAACAAAATATACCCATCAACGAGGTTAAAGGAATCGTGACATATAACATGAAAAGGACTAGGCACATTATGAGAAATATAATTGTTGATTTGATGATATGCTTTTTATATTACAAAGTTGTATTCAAGAACATTTTCATCAATCTTAAATGCATTGATAAATTCTTTGGCTCTTTTCATTCATTCATACAAATTTATACGCCTTCTTGGCTACATTTCCGTATGAATATTATAGCGGCCTTCGAGCTAGCTTTGAAAAAAAACTCAATGGTTTAGCTTGTTTTTTTTTACAGTTCATTGTAGAGATGCACATTATACACACATGAGGCAGGATCTTTTTTTCTAAATAGAGAGGGACAATTTTGAGAGAAAAAAAATCCACTTAAACTGGACTTGCCGTAGGCAATGCCATTCGCCATTTGACGGTGGATCAAGGAAACTTTCTTGTCAGATGAAGATAGTCATGTTGATGGTGAAACATGACCTTTAATCCTTCTCGGTGGATCGTTGATCCACCCAGAGGCACCTGAAAGCCCCCATCTTCTTCTCTCTCACTCACTCTCTCTCTCTCCCTCCCTCTCTCTCTCCCTCCCTCTCTCTCTCTACCTCCCTCTCTCTCTCTCTCCCTCCCTCTCTCTCTCTCTCTCTCCCTCCCTCCCTCTCTCTCTCTCTCCCTCCCTGATCCATATTTACTGTCAATACCCTGACAGTTCATGAAAATGATGAGACAGAGCGAAGTATCAACTTTGACCCTGACGCAAACCCTTCCATACCTGTTTACCAATGTTTCATAGGTCCTATATAGAAAGAAGAACCTGCTCGGCCATCGCCAAAACCAGTTGGCTTCGGTCTTCAGGCAAGAGTCAAGCATAGGATGTATATAAGGAATTAAATATAAACCAAATATACAGTAGGCTTGCGGTTGCACCGTATGAGAGAGGGGGGATTGGGGAGTCCTGAAACCAAATATGCTCAGCGTCTTTTCTCCAGACTAGAAAACAGAACGAAAATCTGTATTTACTGTTTTTAAACATTGACATCAATCATCAGAAGGAAATGACTAACTCGTTTCTGACATTCATTGCTCGTCACGTTTGTTACCTATATTCAGGCAATTACCATGTTCACCTTCCATTAGTCTTCTTCTTTTTTTCTCTTCTTCTTTTTTTCTCTTCTTTTTTCTCTTCTTCTTTTTTCTCTTCTTTTTTCTGTTCTTCTTTTTCCTCTTCTTCTTTTTCCTCTTCTTCTTCATCCTTCTTCTTCTTCTTCTTCTTCTTCTTCTTCTTCTTCTTCTTCTTCTTCTTCTTCTTCTTCTTCTTCTTCTTCTTCTTCTTCTTCTTCTTCTTCTTCTTCTTCTTCAGTTGCAGTACAGTTAACCGTCTGTTGTGTTGTGATACTATTTTCTCATACAATTATAGTCAATTCAATATTTTGTGTTTTTACTTGACAGATTACTGAGGCTGAAGCCTACGCTCTGAAGGATGAAGTAGCATCACAGCTCAGAAACCTTCTCATGCTACAACAAGTTGAACTATCGAGGGCGCTGTTCGAGACCTATCAACCACAGGTGGAAGAGGATCCCACGGCAGATTTGGTGAGTATGGTGATTATTGAAAAGGGGAGAAATATTCATTTTACCCTAAGTTTTACGACTCGAAATTATGAGTGATAAATAACTCGGATATGTGATCTATTAATGTTTGACATATTTGACTACCAATAAAATCCCCAACCCATCTTTATTTTAAATTACTGGGAAACTGAATCTTCAAATTAGAAATCTTCCTAGCACCAGCACACAGTTATATTGCCTTGATCAGAACCCTTGGTAGAAGACAGGATGGTGGTGTTCTGGGCCCGTTTCATAAAACTTGTTATCTATAACAACTGCTAAATTTCTATGACAAATTTGCTTTCAGCCAATCAGATGCCATGATTTCAATAACTTATAACAGTAGCTTGTAAATTGTTATTGATAACAAGTTTTATGAAACGGTGTTGTTTTAGACTATCAATTAGATGATTCCAGTTCAGTTCAGTTCAGTTCAGTTTCAGTCTCAGGACGATAGCAACAAACCTATAATTACATTGCATCTCTGCACCCAGAATAGGAATATGGTTCTGGATAATTATGTGGAAAATCAATTAAAACAAAATTGCATTCAAGGCTGATCATTGGCCATCTTTTAGACTTGATAAAGAGGGTGCACCGTGGTTCATTGGGTAAGACTCTTGAATCCCTTTCGAGAGGTCCAGGGTTCGTTCATAACTCGGTGCTTATATCCTTGTACAAGGTGCTTTACTTGACCCGTATTTGTCCCTCTCCACCCACGTGTATTTTATTTATTTATGTATTAATTTATTTCCAATCTTTTGTCAGGGTAGCCCATTCACCAACAAGTAGTGGCCTTCCGTGAGGGCCCTAAATTAAGGGCCCTGTATGGATAACTGGTGGAGTAATAATAATTGCAGAGCCCGCAAGAAAGAAGAGTAGTATCATTATGATGTGGCTACTCTAGGTTAATAAGAACAAATTAGCAATACATGTAATCGAGTTAATCCTCCGTCAATTAATATAATCTCCTTATTTTTTAATTCTTTAAAGGATGGTTTACTCTACAACCAGATGGCTCAACCTGCAGAATATTATGACTATGCCAACATGATTAACCAAGATGAAGTGCCGTATGGAAGCTCTCAAGTCAACCTCTATGATGCATACCAAGATGCAATTGAACAGGGTAAGTACACGAAAAGACAAAGGCGCATGAGGCGGGGAGGGGGGGGGGGAGGCTGAGGGGTAAGCCCCCAAATAAAAAAAAATTACATGGACCAAAATTCGGGCTCCTTCATGTTCGGATTTTCGACGTTTCAACAGGGTGTTTTTTGTTATTTATGAAATTGTATCTCATATATTTTGATGACGAAATTATAAAAATCGAGTTTGAAATCGCCTGTGGAATGTAAATTTGATATTTGGACAAAACTTTGCCCATACGCCTAAATTGAAAGGTGTGTTCTACGCTATATGGTTTATTTCAAGTTATATTTGCATCACAAAAACTGACCTAAATTTCTTCGAAACACCTTATTATGAAGTAAAGTATGGTTCGGAACCATCCAATCAATATCTTTATCTTCTTTTTCTTGAAACTCAACTATTTAGATATGTTTAAGAATATTTCTACCAAAATTGTTTGGCAGATGCCTTTAATTGGTCGTCTGAACATTAGGTGTAGTTTTTGTTTCACCCTGTGAGAAATTATTTTCTATTATTACCAGAACTCAAGATTTATTCTAAATGTCTGACGATGAATAGCATATGACTACTTTTTCCAATGAAAATAAGAAATGAATAAAATCGGTTGGTGAAAGTAAAAGATTAAAAAGAAGAAGAAAAAATTAATAAACGCACTTGTCGGAGATTGAAAAATGATTTTATTTGTTTTATTTGTTTTATTTGTTTAAATTCACAGTCAGTTGTAATCGTGGAATGTAGGATACAAAACGTTGAATTATCAAATCGATTGTGTCATTTGTGTTTGTTCACAGAAAGTCCAGTATTATTTGCTCTTTGGGGAAAGCCAAATAAACACGTACGTTTAGACTTTTAGGCGGGAAGGATGGAGTCTCCATTAAAAGGATTTTTAGCTAGAAATAATCGATTCGTTGCAATTTTTTCCGAGGTCAGGAAACGTGTAGGTCAACAAGTTGAAATCCACAGGAATTTTGTTCACTGTCATTTTGTATTGATTTATTCATTTCTGCCCTAGATGTTTTCGCTTGATATTTGTTCATATGTGATTTATTCTTGATTTGTATAGAAAGCACTCAAGCCTTATCAGAGATAGCCGAGATACTTGCACAAAGGATTGCACGAGGTGAAATCTCGCCGGAAGATGGCGCTAAAATCATGAGTAAGTCGAAAATATTATTGGTAGCTGTATAAGTTGAAGAGGCACGTTTCTAAAACCAGCCACAACCGAAACCCTAATCATAAGGCTACCTGATATACATGATACTGACAGACTAATAATGCAAATGGTTTCAATTTAGTTTCCTTAGCTAGATTAAGTTGTGTTTATTTGTTTTAGAAACATGCCTCTACAAATTATCAAATAATTGCCCACCCAACGACCTTGTCAAAACTTCATGACCATTAAATGTTTACTACTTAGCGTTACAATAATTTGATTAGAACACGATAATAAGGTGTTGGTGGTGACACTCTTCTCTCCTAACATAATTTGAAATTCCTCTTTTTTATCATCACTTTATAGTTTATCATCGCTTTATAGATGAGTTTAGTTTTATGAAGTTCTTATTAGAGAATGTGAAATTTTCCTTTCTTGTGAAAAAGACATTTTAAAAAACATTACAAATTAGTATTTTTACTTTCTATTCATGTATGATTCATGACGGTTCTGATGAGAAGCTCTTAAAGTCATAGGATTACATGAAGGTGTCGTTTATAAATCTTGCGTAGGCCGAAATTGCGGCAACACGACACGGATGACATTATAATTAAGTAGCATTTCCACCTATATATTTCTGTTAAGCTCTATTTGGTACAACTTAAAAGCATCATTCATAAGCGTACCCAGATATTTATGAACGTGGGGGCAGAATCATCCCGAGATCGGGGTATAGGAAGTCTGGGCAGCCCCTAGGTCTTACCGAGAAGGGAAACCTGCCAGAGGAATTATTTTTTTCTGAGGGAGGGCGTCCCGCGCCATAATCTACCCTAGATGCTGAATACCCCCTCATTAAGACATGCTCAGTGTATGATTGCGTGGGATAATGGCAGAGTGGGAGGCGATGTCATTTCATCCATCAAGGTTTTGATTAGCTTTTAAAGCCTCGCTCAAGATAAGTAATCGACTCGAATTTCTTTAGACTATTAGCCATTCGCCTCCCCAGATGAGGATATAATATGTATACCTTCCCCCGGTCGGTTGTCCTTAGAAGTTTGATTTGTGTGTCTCGCCCATCTTTTTTGTTTTTCCCCAATTTTTTTCAGCTTTTTTCCAAATATAATAACAGAATAACAAAGAACATATAAACGTAAGGTATAATACAAAATATACATTTTTTTTTTTTACATATGTACATATAATAACGAAACTTAATATTTCTATAACATATTATTATAAATCTAAAGTATTATCCAAACAATCTGTTGAAAAGGTGCAGGAGACCGCAATCATAAGCGATATCGTAGAAAGTTACATTGTAGAAGACGCTGTTACAAACGCGATCGTGATTTTAAACTTTTTTTTTTATAGTCATATTACACCAGCACCTGAGCAATAGTTAAAATAAATGTATGTTTCTTTTTTTCTTTCTCTTTTTTAGTGTTGTTGTTGCTGTTTTCTTTCTTTCTTACTTTTTTTCGGAAGGGGTAGGGTCAGATTTCTGTAATATAGAGGTAATGGACGGTGCTGATTCGTAGAAGCGCCTGTATATAAGTATGTAATCTAACACTGTAGAGTTGCTTCTCAATAAGTTGTATGTGTTGTACTATTGATTGAACATGACTCCTTGAGTTAGGTACATAATAATTGGTACAAACTGAAGAGTTTCATCATCGCTGATCGAATTAAAGCAAACTGTTGCTAATATCTGAAGCATGTAATTGTATATCATTTGAGAGTCGCACAATTTTCTGTAATATGTAATATAAGCAAATGTAAAACATTTTTTCCCTTCTCCTTATATACGATTCAATGTATTGTTCTTCGTTGAAGTATCATGAAAGTGACAAAGTCAGTCTATAATTGAAAGTATCTGTAAGACATTTTTGGTTTATTTATTTGCTTGCTCTTGTAAAGGCAAGGTTGTGCAGCTCCTTCCTGACAACTACTGGGGTGAGAGCGAAGAAGGCATGAGCTCAGAGGGGGGCAGCGAATACAGAGAAGAAGACTTGGGCCTTTCATCACAGACCAGCGAGTACATGCAGGGCGAGGACGAGATCGAGAGATACGGCCAGGAGGTCGAGCCTGAGATTGAGAACTTCGAGGAAGAGCTCCTAGAACAAGGACCGGATGGATTGGTCAAGGACATCAAGGAGACGGACCATAATGGTGACGCGGACGCGACGGAGTTAGAGCAGGAGGCGGAGAAGATTGCAGATGAATTAGAAGACGAACTCATTGAAGGAGGAAAGACATCGAAAACAGGTAAGCTCAGGAATAGTTTGATGTGTGCGGGCAAGCACTGAATCCAATGACCGGGGTAATAGTATATTTGTAAAGCGCTTAGAGACATTTGTATTAAGCGCTATATAAAAATTAAATATTATTATTATTATTATTATTATTATTGTTGTTCGTTGTTTTTCTAATGATTATCGAATTCATGTGGGCACCTAGGGATTTTTCTGAAACCCTCATGACAATGGACGAAACGTGAATGCGGATAAACGCCCCACCTGCTGGGGTTGCGAACCCATGAGCTTCCTATTAAAAACAAGCCCTGCTCCAACCGCTGAGGCACTGTATCTCACTGGCCGATGAGACGTTAGCCCACCCCACACCCTATGATCCGAGAACAGACTTTGGTAAAAGTTGAAAAAAAGGATCAGATATGAACACAGAAGATATAAAATACGTCCTGAATGAGTTTCTTAATAGTCATATAAATTATCAAAACTTTGGGGAATCGCCAAAGAAAACACGGTGACAAATCTGGGACAATGAGGCGACTTTTGTGGTGTAACTACCCACTACGATTCGCAGCTGATGGTACTTTTCTCTGTGTCAATGTCAATGTCTCTATTTGTATGACAATTCAGTACCTTGATCAGGGCAATCAGGAAATCTTTTTTTCGTATCTTGTCTTTCTGTAATTTGACCGACACCATATAATCGGATCTTAATGTATGAGGTGCGCTCTAGAAGAGTCTAAAATATCGGTTTATCATATAAAAGAAAACGACCAACAAGGTGCACTGACCCAGCGATCACTTTATTCTAGTCTTAAAGTATTATTCAACTCTAAGAATCTGCTGATATTACTTGTATATCTTCAATTATAAAACGTCATAGCAAAACATATTCATATTTTATTTTATGACTTTTCCCTCAAGGGTTCTTTCAAATCCATTTCCGTCAAGGCATTTTCCTTGAAGCTTTACGTAGACATTTATCTTTACATTTCGTGGGCAGTAGGTCTGACTTTTCTTAGCAGGGAGCATCATCTTATTTTGTCTTGACGAATCCAAAACTTAGAAATTCCTCATCTTCTCTTCTTTCTGTGATTTTAGAGTCCATTAAGATTACCAAACCTGGAGCTGAAGCTGTTGTAAAAGTCGGCCCATCAAATGACGTCATTGATGAGGATGTGGAGAAAAACTGGAAAGACATGTCGCTACTACTCGATAATGGTAACTACTACTTATAAAACAATTCCTGTGTTCTCTATGCATTGTTTCATATTCTTTCGATTCTATGACGTCATAATCAGCAATTGGGGACTTTATTGGGAACTTTATAAATTAAATTTGTTCATGCTATACATTAAATCAACCAAAAAGTCGATGTGTCTGATTGGTTGGAGTTACCCACTTTGCACGTGTTTTCATCATTATTACATTCATTTCACAAAGGATATTTCGTGTAAAACGCTGCCATCTACTAGTGATACTAAAGAAAATAAAACCAACACATTTTGATGTAATTTTAGTGCTGACAATTAAAAATCCTACTTATGGCAAAATAACTGGCAGTGGTTGATGCTAAAACTTGTATTAAATTGACAACTCATACAATGGTTTAAAAGAATAGCGTTTTTATTCATTTCTTAATCTTCTTTGTACAACTTCAGACATTCCTGAGGACATCTTGAGAAGTCTTGGCATCGACATGGAAAAGCTAGGTAACAAATACGAAGAAGAGAAGGAACTTGAAGAGGAGGAGAAAGAGATCAAGGAGATAGCAACGAAAGAAGGGGAGGATTAATCGGGATGAGCTTACGTCACTTATGACCCCCACCCTTCCTCCTCCTCCTTCCGCAAAGGAATTGGAAATCAGAGACTGCAATGTGATCATGTACCATCTTCAAGCGTCGGTTCGGTTGTGGGTATGGAAAGGGTTATAGGACTATGTGGAAATAAAGCTTTGTTAATTGAAATATTATTTTAGTTATAAACATTGTTTGAAATTTAAATGAGCAAATTCTTTCAGTGAAGAACCTCTTTCAACCAATAAAAAATTGATAATTTTGTTAAAACCCACAAATCGATTTTTGACAACGCTAGGTACTCAAAACAGAATTTGACGTTGAAATACAAAAAAAAAATTACCCCCATCTTTCTTTTCTGCCAACACAATTAATATTCATCAGTTTATCATAAACGATCACTCATACTTTGCTAGAAAATGTTATCAAAACGGAGGGGAGATCATTACCTTGTCCTGGTATGACCTTCGTTTTCTGATCATTGATTGCGCTAGGAAGACAGAGTGTTTGACATTCGGATCATATTCATGCAGTCTCTGATTTCCACCGTATTCTTTGCCTCAGTCTTTAATTTGCATCGAAATTCATCACCTTCGCAGTTCGCTATATTTTTTCACATCTTTGTACGATGTTTTCGATACCTTTATTGCTATACTTCAGTTGTGTTAAGTTTGGTTGTATCTTTGATATATTTCACTAGATTATGATTTTCTGAACAAGTAGAATAATTTTACATTTTTGTTGACTTATGCTTTTGAACACCTTTATCACTTTTGCCTTTTAATCGTTAACATCACGTCAGAAAATGAACAATGCTGGTGTCGAAAGAAAATCATTTTTCAGTCATTGAAAAGAAATATGAGCATGGCACTTTATGTTTATCTCTTTATTTCTAATCACGTTTAATCAATAATTGTTTCATTTGGGGTAAATGGTGTTGGCTATCATTATATAATAATTAAAATTAAAATTTGTTTTACAATGTAAAATAACTTGGATAAGGGCAATTACCTTAACAAAAAGTTGGAATACAGCGTATCATTCGTTTATTTAGATGTTATCATATTAACTTGGTCACAATTTAAAATAAAGGGTAACAAAATCAGATAAAAGAAATATCTATATTTGTGCCCACTCTACCGATAAGAATCGGGATATGATTAATAAAGATCAAGTTTAAAAGATATTATTTCTCATTTATTTGAATATATTAGACAACGGACAAAACATCGTTTTTCAGACTTTTTCAAATGTATCTATTTTCTTTTTGATTTCTTTATTTTCTTTCTTTATCTCTCTCTCTCTCTCTTTCTCTCTTACTATCTGTTTGTTATCACACTGAATCTCTGTATTCATTGTCATCTAATAATTCCTTTTAACTCTTTGTATCTCTTATATCTGTCTCTGTAGTATACTATTAATCTCTTCGTATGCTGTTTCTACCTATGCTGTGTGTGCATTTCCCTTTTATTCCTTTTTTCCTCAAATTCTAGGATTCATCCATTCTTCTCTCTCTCTCTCTCTCTCTCTCTCTCTCTCTCTCTCTCTCTTTGTCTCTTCGTCTCCTTCTTTCTTTGTCACATTGAAATCTTGACAGTGTCTATTAATTTCTCTATTGTCTTATGACTCTTATCTCGCTTTAATGTCTTGACACAAAAGGTCATGTCGACCATTTTTTCTCTGTGTGCAACTTTCAACTTTCGTGTAAGTATTTCCTATCTAAGCTTTAAATTTTCATAAGAAAATCTATGAATATATTGTACAGTATATAGAACATTGTAATATAATTCTGGTGCATCTACATTAACGAAAACATTGGAGGAGTATTCTACTTGATGTAATTACAGTATATAGCTCTAGGCGCATGTGGTGTGAGCAAAATATATGACTTAAGAGTTATTTTATCAAAAATATACTTATAGAATATAAGACGTAACTATATTCACAGTTACACATGATACCATGGGTATGTAACTATTAAACTAATATTGATTGCAGAATTAGGAAACTGATTGTCAGATTCTCTTCGTAAATCGAGGAGTCAATATAAAATCAAAGAAAGGGGTACGAAGCGACAACTTTCATATTTTTTTATTATTCATATTATCTGTACATGACTTGTGATACAACACGCAACCGAACCAGTGCACCATATTGTCCTCGTTTCTGTAGAGTTCATGATCTGATCAATATTTAGGGGTTCGTTCTAACGGTTACATGGATATGTCACAGTAACATACTCATTAGTTCTTAATATACAAATATTGACATCATTGTCAGCTACGAATCCAGATATCTTTGTGAAATGTATTACGAACAGGTAGATAAAATATACAAAGGACCCACTTAATGCATTATAAATTTTGAGCCATCAAAGTACTGGGGGCGTACGCCTTCTGTATACTATGTTACTTGTTATGATGATAATAAGTCCGTGGGCACGCATTTCATGCAGTATTCATTTTAATGCATGCAATGGCTGAAGAAGAGCTGGAAGCATGATAAATAATGCAGTTGTCTCCATTTATTATTCTATTTTAAAGAAAGCTCTTTAATGAAATATGAAAAATAAGTATATTGATAGTAATCCGACGAAATGTCAAACAGTTGTCAGATTTCTTTCAGGAAATGAACTGTGTAATTTTCCCAAACTACCGTTAGTATATTCATGAAAGAAAATGAGGATGACTAAACGATTCTATATTGCTAATATAGGTCAACTGCAGTTCATTGCTCTCTGAATCATGTATATTCAGTCTGTATATACTTAGGAACATCATGTCGCTTAATACAATGGCGATGAACACACTCGAATGACCAAACTGTAGATATGATGGCATCATTGTGCAGCTTTAATTGTATGAAAAAAGCAAGAAGAAAAATATCGTGGTATAGCTAAGAATGGTATCATAGTTGCATGAAATCCAAATAAATGTAACATTAAAGAGTACCACTCTGGTGTTAAGATTAAGGTTATTCACAGGGGATAAGATAATAAGTTTACGTGCCATTACAAAAAAAAAGTTAGGTTTGTGTTGGATTATCGATTTGTATAAGGATCGGGGAAATATCATATTTGTGGTTTGAAGACCATTTTTTAAACAATATGTAAGGGTTAAGATGTGAATTAGACCTGAACCATTTTTCTTCTTCGTCTTATATACGTGGCACATCCGGATTCAATAGGCAAAATTACAAAAGATATTGTCTTTAGGAAAATAGGGATAATTATTATGAACGTTTGTTAAGCATATTTGGATGCGCACAGTTTCACAGTAAAATAACACTTGGAGGTCTGAAGTAAGGGAGAACATCAAATTAACAACACAATACGGCACTATATATCCTTTTTTCTTTTATCCAGCACATTTTATTTCATACTCTGTTTATTATGATTATCGTATGTTTACCTTGTTCATTGTAAACTTATTCAAATAATGTTTACTAATTCCGTGGAGATTTGTTTGGAACTAATTCCACTTGCTCATTGTTGTATTCGTTAGTATAACTTTAAATTTCTCCATTTATTTAATCACCTCCACTTTTTTATGTTTGATATAATTAACATGTTCATATTGTAATAATGTTACCTATTTATGTAATCATTTATTTGTATTTTTATTCTTTTTTTATATACATTTATGTTTGATAAATACAAACTTTTAATAATTCCGTAACGATCTCTACACACAAACACATGTGGCATTTTCCCGCTTCATTTTGGGCTTAGTATTCACAGATAGATTTAAATGAGAAACAATGAGTGCCTTTGCATCAGTTGGTTTCCAATCTTCATAAAGCCAGGAATAATTTTAGTTTAATGTACCAACAAAATATGCCTGTTCGCCCTTTTCTAGGCTTTTAAACACAAACGTTGACGAGATTAAAGTATTTGAAAGTATGTACAGACAACAGAACAAATCTCACAGATTTCGTTTATCAGTTAATGCCGAAAACAATTGGTATAAGATTTAAAAAAAGCCGAATACTGTGTTGTCCTTCTCAAAGCCACTTGCTTTTTTTGTCCCTTTCAGTTGAATAAAGTGTGCTGAATAAAACTCCTTCTTTTTTGTTCTTCTTGCAAGCTACATTGATAAATAAAGATTGGTGCTGCTTATCCGTCGTGGATGTGTGACTTCGATGACTGTGAAAGATGGAGTTGGATGTTATGTTGAGCAGGGGTTTGGTCTAGGCAGAGGCGTAGTGAGAATCTAGCCAATAAGGGGGCACATGCATCACTGGGTGTGGGGGCACTCTGTGAATGAAAATGTGCATTTTCAAACCACCGATTAGGGGAAGGTGCCGGAGTGGTCTCATTCCCATTCAATTCCCATCCTCTTTCCTCGACCCTTCTTCACGCTTTTTTCCTTTCCCCTCCTGTTCTCATTTTCTCCCCCTTTTCGCCATCCTATCGGGGGGGGGGGAGGGGGGAGTACCCCCGTATCACCCATACACTTGGAATGTGTGCAAGAGTGGCGGCGTTGGATGAGTGTGTTATGACGATAGTGATAATACTGGAAGTGACTGGGGTTGTTCAAGAATTAAGGCGCTAGCACGTATACGATATCTTGCCTTATTGACCCTATTGATTATGACTTTTCCCAAAACCTAATCACCAGTTAGACAGTTCCTAGTATCTATGTTTTGGATAGGGAATATAGCTCCGATGAATATACCTTTACAATGCTTTCAATTAAATATTTCTTTGATTTTGTTTAGACCTTAAATGTGGTTAGACATCAATGTTATGTAATACTGTTCTGGGTCGGGAGGTACAAATGTGGGTAAAAACACTTTTTCCATTCAAGAATGTAGTGGCATCGAGCGAGGATCGAACCCAGGACTTTTCGTATTAGAGAATACCACATTGCATCGACTATATACCACAGTGGTCGTACTACCAATAACTAGGTATGAAACTGAGATCGTTGTAAAGAGCTGTAGAATCCTTTTAAATGTACGTTTATCAATACCGTTAAAACAGTTACTTTATGAAAACGGTATTGTTATAAAGCTATCATTATCAAAGCGTTTCTGATGGTCTCTGTATTATTTTGTTTTGTGGGGGTGGGGGAGGGGGGGGGGTAAGCAAATGCCTCCTTGTAGTCAGTGGAACCCTGTATCACCCATGTAGTAGTATTAGTAGTAGTTATCTCTATTCCGTACACTTGCTGCACGCCGAAGATGGCGTTATCAACGAATGCGTACGGCCAGTCAGGATTTTCTTTTTGCCAGGCGACATCATTATTGGAGGATCACGCCATCTTCGGCTGGCAGCGAGTAAGAAGGGGGAACTCGCATTTAATTAGGTTGGTGGAAATTGTTATAATTAAATCCAGGCGCGGATCCAGGATTTTTCTTAGGGGGGGGGCCAAATTTGAAATTATGCGAGCCAAATTTTGGTGCGTAATAGTGACCAACAGTGACGTAATGCGGGGGGGGGGGGGTCGGTGCAGGGAGGGGCGATTCCCCCCCCCCTCCCTCCTCCGCGAAACGCGGAAGCTTTGACGTTTTATTAAATTATTAGAGAAAGAAGACGATTCGTTGTACCATTCTCGAAAATAATTCTCGTCTGAATTTAATTTTTCCCCTCCCGCGCGGAGCGCGGAAAAAATTTACGATTTATTAAACTATTAGAGAAAGAAGACGATTCATTGTTCAGTTCTCGACTCTTAATCCTCGTCTAGATTCAGGTTCCCCCCTCTCGCGCGAAGCGCGGAAGCTTTTAATTTTCATTAAATCATTAGAAAAAGAAGACGATTCGTTGTACCGTTCTCGAAAATAATCCTCATCGGAATTTAGTTCCCCCTCCATCCCGCGCGAAGCGCGGAAGCTTTTACGTTTCATTAAGCCATTTAAGATTCGTATTACCGTTCTCGCCTCTGAATCCTCGTCTGAATTCAGGTTCCCCCCTCCCGCGCGAAGCGCGGAAGCTTTGGCGTTTCATAATATTATGAGAGAAAGAAGATGATTCGTTGTACCGTTCTCGATTTTTAATCCTTGTCTGAATTCAGTCCCCCCCCCCCCCCCCCTCCCTCCTGCGCGACGCTGTGACGTTTCATTTAATTATTAGAGAAAGAAGCCGATGCGTTGTACCGTTCTCTATACTGTTAATCCTTGTCTGAATTTCAAAGATGTTCTTTGTCTGCTCCTTTTTCTTCCTACGTCCTCTTCCGATTTGGGGGGACCGCCCCCCCCTCCCCCCCCCCCCCCTGGCTACGCGTCTGCGGTCAGATAAACACATTTTGATACCTTGTCTAACCCCGCAAGCGGTCAGATAAGCATTCAGGGGCCCGTCTTAGGGCCCCTGGTGGGGTCGAGGCACTGGAAGCTCAGGGGTTTTAGGCGTTTAATTAAGGTCAGATGAGCATTTTTTTTGTATACCTTATTATTTTGTGACACTGGCAGGCAGGCGCGTACAAAAACCCCCCCCCCCCCCCCTTTGGAAATTTTTTATGTGTAAACCCCCCTAAAAAAAACCTAAAACCCCCCCTTTTGGATTTTTTTTTTTTTATTCCCATGGCCGACCTAAAAAAGGTGACCTTACCCCCCCCCCCCAACGGAGCAAAATGTCAAATTTCCAAATTTCGAGACCAAAAAAAAAAAAAAAAAGTGTCCTCTTACCCCCCCCCCCCCCCCCCCCCCCCCCCCGCTTATTCAGCGGTCGGCTGAGTCGTTGCGATTTTTTTGGGACCAAAAAAAAAAAAATGTGTCCTCTTACCCCCCCCCCCCCCCCCGCTTATTCAGCGGCTGGCTGAGTCGTTGTGAAATTTTCGGACCGATTTATAAATGTTAAAACCCCCCCTTGAAAAAATCCTGCGTACGCGCCTGCTGGCAGGTCACTATTTGGCGTGGGGTCCAGGGGGCGGAGCCGCTAAAAATAAGGGGTTTGAGGCATTAAATTACCGTCAGATGATCATCTAAGGGCCCGCCGTAGGGCCCTAGGTGGAATCCAGGGGGCAGAGCCCCCGGAGGCTTAGGGGTTTTAGGCATTAATCACGGTCAGATGGGCATATTTTGATGCCTCATTATTTTTTAACACTGGCAGTTAACTATTCTTTCATTCTTGCTCTCATTCTATATTATTTCTCTTTAATATACTTTTTCAAAAAAGTGGGGGTGGGGGGGGGGGGAGCTCGGTGCTCCCGATCCCCGCCGTACCTCGGGCACTGACATGTAGGAATCTCAAGAATCATATTTCTTGCCTGGCTGTAAATTTAGGAATTTGTCATTTTCCAACAAACACATACAAACGTATAATTTACTAAAAAGTGAGGAAAAATCTCGGAAATTATGTCATATCAGCATTATTTGTAATCCACCGTTGTGGAATTAGAAATAAACCACGTTTGAATTTGATTTCCCCCAAGCCCCCCCCCCATCGGTACGCCAGTATCTCCTCTTTTCCTTTTTTCTTTCCCTTTCCTTCCTTCTCTCTTATTTTTTTGATTGGGGGGAGGGGGGGGGGTCAACAGCCTGGGAGGCAAGGCCCTTTCGCCCCCCCCCCCGATCTCCTTTTTCCCCCTTTTCTTTTCTTCTTCCTCTTCTTTCTTTCCCTTTCTCTCCTCTTTCCCTTTCCCTTCTTTACCTTTCTTCTCTCTTTTTTTTTTTTTTTTTTTTTTTTGCGGGGGGGGGGGGGGGCCAAGGCCCGCTCGGCCCCCCCCCTAGATCCGCGCCTGATTAAATCTGCCAGATTATGGACAATAAAAGTACTTTGAATAAGGCACGACGGCTCAGTGGTAGAGCAGGTCCCAGGTTCGAATCCAACTCGATGCGCCAGTGCCCTTTGGTAAGGTATTAATCCTCATTACCAAGTCCCTCGGAGAGGGCTTGGCTGTCGGTCCCCTGATGCATAGACATGGTTTTTTAGCAGTCAGGTTAAACAAACAAAACGCACCTTCTCATCACGAAAAGGTTTTTTTCTAGAAGATTAATAAGAAAATGAAGGCTCACAATGACAGATGAAAACAGTAAATGCAAGAAATGAAAATTGTTTCTCTTCATTTTATTAACAATTATATTGACATAGGATTCTCTTTCTTGTATCCACGGAAAATCAATTATACTATATGATATCTATTTCAATTTTCTAACAGGAGACACATATTCAACAACCATAATCATTGTCCATAATTTTAAATACCTTCTTGGCAATAACATGCAGATGAGTCAAACCATATCATCCTTCCTACGCAAAAATATACATGTAATTGCAACGAAAATGAAGGGCATCCAATGATAGTCATTTTTATTTATCCAGTCACATGTTTATTTTATTTTGTATATTGCCAATATGCCATAATACAATCGTTTATATTTTAAAGCTGATACTCAAAAAATACGAATTGCTTTACACTTGATGAAATTGGTGGATAAACGCTTGTTTTCCCCTACCCTTCGATATTAAATATATACATACATGTTTCAACAAGGATTCATTTTTTAAATTATCAATTAAACAAAAAGTTGATTTAGTATACAGATAATTATGATAATGACGATGATATTAATAATATTATATTATATTATAATAATAATAATAATGATAATGATAAATAATAATAATAATAATAATATTAATAATATTTATAATATGCCGCTCTTGTACTATGATATAAACGTGGATATTATTACCCCGTCGATCGGAGCGCTCAGTACATTCAAGAAATAAATCCTACGTTATCATATGAAAAATATTTGAATTAAAGAATGAATTCAACGAATGGTTTGAAATTATTGAAATTCGAATGACATGTTTACCTTGAATCATTGGCTGCTTTAAGTCGCTTTAATACATCTTAATTAGATTTCTCAATGCCTGATTTTATTACTAAAAATCAGATTTCTACACGATAAAGACAAGAGAATGGCACACAAGAACATTAATTACCTGACATGTTCAACACCATTACTCTTATCTATCTCAATAACCATATACTTTGGATAACATAATGAATTTTATATTACCAGAGACATCATTCAAAATAATTATATACTGGTTACACTTCTAATAATGATATGTATAATATCATGCACGATGTAAATACTGTGGAAGAAA